AAGGAAGTATGAATTTACGACTACTGTCCTGTACTTTTACCTACTTGTACTGGAAGCGAATAAATACCCAAGATAGTGTTATTTGTAACGGTGAAACTCACTCCCTGCTTGTATGATTTTACGTACCCACCAAACCGTTTACCACTGGTACCAAACAAACAGAAATAATACCAGTCCCTAGAACGTACAATAACAATCCCCAAAATCCCATGTTCCAGGGAATGTAGTTTGTTTGTTTGTTGCTTATGCCACACTCACCAATAGTATAGCCTGTTGCCGCAGTCTGTAAATAATCGAGTCTGGACCAGACAATCCAGTGATGATCTGTAAAGCGCCGTTAAATCCTCTTTGAATTCATTTAAGTGCAACAATATTGTCAGTGAATATCATATTAGTGAGTGAGTTTAGTTTTACGCCGTTTTCAGCAATATTCCACCAATAAGACGACGGGCGACACTTGAAAATGGGCTTCACACACTATACCCATGTGGGGAATGGAACCGGGTCTTCGGCGTGACAAGCGAACGCTTTAACCATTAGGCTACCCCACCGCCATTAATATCATAGCACGGGATACAGGAATAAAACAGGACCGGGTTCACAAAGCGACCGTAGTGCTAAGACGGTCGTAACCTTAATATAGACTTACGATCGCTTTGTTGAACTGGGCCTAAGATTTTAATGTTAATGTATGGCACTTACTCTTCTTAGCGCTAAGATAGTCGTAAATCTAGTCTGTGGTGTCAAGCATGGCAAATCGACGCTTGAACACAGGTAGCCAGCAGCCCCGCATCAATAATATTAAATAACAACGACATAACATTTACCCACACAAGTGCTTGTATATAATATTCACGACGTATCAAAGTAAAGGATTTGGCGTTTTCTGGAGGTAATGGTACAAACGCATAAACTGTTGCTACTAACAGTGCTATTTAGCATGCTGTTTGGGGCGACAGAAAGCTCAGTTTTGCAAAACAATCTTACGGCCGACAATTTTGTGAAAATCTGTGTTGGGGAATACTGTACATCTCACAGTTTCTACAAACACAATCTATTTTTTCACGTGTCTAGTGCGAGCGCATTATCACCATCTTGAGAAGATCTTGAGAAGATCTCAGTTATGTGAAACACATGACGTAATATTCAGGGGGCTGCGGAACCAAAGGGAATTAAACCCTTTGACCCCAGGTTTCTTTCATCTTCGCCTGTCGGTGACCCTACATCCAGCTGCTATCTCATGGTATGACTGTAATACCGTTATGGGCAGCACAATGTGAGTGAGTGTGGTTTTACGCCGCTTTAGCAATATTCCATCAACATCACTGCAGGGGGACACCAGGAATGGGCTTCACACATTGTACCCATGTGGAGAATCGAACTAGGGTCTTCGGCGTGACAAGGGAACGCTTTAACCATTAGGCTACCCCACCACTCCTCACACAATGTGATCAGCTTGCTTAAGGAACTAATCATTCATAATAGGGAACTAAGCCCTGGAATCCAGTTTCCTGAGATAATATTTTTGAAAATTGGAAACAACTGTTTTATCTTTCCTTTTTATCAGGGCGTTTTGTGTTACAAGATCAATGTCTGGGTCAGTTAGAATTGACTTGAATTTCTTAACCTGTGTTTTTTTTAGGTATGAATCGAAAACCCTATTTACAAACTGAATGAAACCGCGTACGTTATTCAGCTGAATACTGACGACTGTGGATTTATACAGCGATAACTATTGCCTCTGTCCGAAACCAAGTTGTCGGTCAGAACATTATTGGTCTTGTAAGAGCTCTCCGATGGACAGGCTTGTCTCAATATATGTCTCGGATGGACAGGGTTGTCTCAATATATGTCTCGGATGGACAGGGTTGTCTCAATATATGTCTCGGATGGACAGGGTTGTCTCTGTCTCGGATGGACAGGGTTGTCTCAATATATGTCTCGGATGGACAGGGTTGTCTCAATATATGTCTCGGATGGACAGGGTTGTCTCAATATATGTCTCGGATGGACAGGGTTGTCTCTGTCTCGGATGGACAGGGTTGTCTCAATATATGTCTCGGATGGACAGGGTTGTCTCAATGTATGTCTCGGATGGACAGGGTTGTCTCAGTATATGTCTCGGATGGACAGGGTTGTCTCAATATGTCTCGGATGGACAGGGTTGTCTCAATATATGTCTCGGATGGACAGGGTTGTCTCAAAATATGTCTCGGATGGACAGGGTTGTCTCAATATATGTCTCGGATGGACAGGGTTGTCTCTGTCTCGGATGGACAGGGTTGTCTCAATATATGTCTCGGATGGACAGGGTTGTCTCAATATATGTCTCGGATGGACAGGGTTGTCTCAATATATGTCTCGGATGGACAGGGTTGTCTCAATAATATCTCGGCAAAGTCACGATAATTCACTTGACCTCAATATCGAAATTGTAATGATTAACCTATTTCCGTCTGCCTCCAATGCACTGGGGCCGCGGGGTAACCAGTGGTGGAAATGTATACTTGACAACACCCTGGTTCTATTTCCAACTTGGGTAAAATTTGTGAGGCCCATTTCGTATGTCCCCCGCCTGGTATTGCCGGAATATCGCTAAAATCGGTATTCATGAAACTCAATATTCCTGGTAACGTACTGCAACATGTTTTGCAAAGGAATTATCACGAAGGTCGCTAAGAACAACGTTATAAGAAGAACTTTTTATGTCCCTTCCTGCCAATTAATCTTTTGAAAGTTTATAGCTAGTGAGTTTAGTTTTACGCCGCTTTTAGCAATATTCCAGCAACATCACGACGGGGGACACCAGAAATGGACTTCACACATTGCACCAATGTAGGAAATCGAACCCGGGTCTTCTGCGTGACGAGCGAACGCTTTAACCACTAGGCTGCCCCACCGCCCTGACATTTTATACTCGAGGCTACACACATGGAAATGTAATCTTAGTGAGGTCATTCGATTAGATAAACATGTTATTTGACAAGAAAATGCCAATATCCTTAATTCATCATGGCAATCCTTAATTCATCATGACATTATTTAAAGGTCACATGCAACGTAAAACACAACTTTGCAGATTCTGATACCTTTCGGTATGGAAACAAATCGTCAAAAAATGCAAATTCAACTTATAAAGTTGAAAAATAACGCGATGAAAAAAAACGCGCGAAATCGGAGTTCAAACGTTTCACTAATTTTCCCCAGACTTTTCTGGGGGAAAACGGGTTTCAACAGCTGGGCTCCGCTCATAGCACGTGCGCAAGTAAATAGGTTCGCGCAGCTTGGAAGCGGGTTGTCGGGTGAATACTCGGTGAAGGCTTTGGTGTGAGCTATTTTTCTAATGTTTTGTTGATATCTCACAGGCGCGAGCTTTTTATATGTTATGACAGTAAATTAACTGTTTATATAATTTCATTTGTCTATTTCACCACACGTTCTTCTTACCGAGACACTTTCTCAGTTCGATACTTAAAAGCAATGTCATTATTTAGCGTTGACAGAATTTCTAACTGTGATATAGATATGTCGTTGTCACAGACAAAACTCAATGTCTTGTTTTATTGACACCTGTGTGTCTGCCTGCCTGTCTGCTAATGACAATATTCAATCCACAGCTGCTATCACTGACCACATGCAATTTGAACTTAACACCAATCAGGCTATACACCATAAACAAAACGCATTGATTTATGGCCCGAGTTCGGTCTCTGTCACATTATGTAATTACACAGACAGGCAGGTGTGATACTTGAACACATGACATGTTATGATGTCTGTTGATTGCAAAATGTTATACACAAAAAATGAGCATGTATTTACAAAACCCAACATCTCTATATAGTCTATACACACACAATGAGCCGTGAAGGCTGCATCTGCAAATGAACCAGCCGTTACACTTGAGTGCACACCCACCCGCTCTGACTGGGTTCGGTATCCCGGCTGCTTCGTTTCTTGGGAAGTAAACCGAAGTACACAATATTGCACTTTTGATTAGCGATTGTACGCTTATAATTTTGTTTATATGTTTTTTCATAACCAGCAATGTATATTATATGTCATGAATAAGTGATAATTGTGTTTTAATTATGTTTGATTTTTTGGTTGCATGTGACCTTTAAAGAATCTTTACTACATATGATCATGAAAAATAGGCATTTCGGTTCCTGATCATTGCCATGGGCTCCAACTCATGGCCACTTGTGCCACCATGGCCAAGCCGTAGGCTACCGAATCCTACTCGGTGTGTGGGAAATTCAGCAGCCGGATTGTCAGGCTGTTTTTAGCCGAACAGTTGGATGAGCTCATGTGATCACGTGACACTAGAGGTGCAAATCAGTACATTCGAAACAGATGTCACGTGGTCGCAGAAGTTCCGCCCAATCATGAATTTTTTGTAAACTAAAGAAGAACACAGGTTTAAGAGCTCTCCTTCCTGAAAGTTTGACCTGAAACTAAACATAACTTAACCCCTTTCAGGCAGCCAGCGGAAAATCACCGGTTGTGCATTCTGAAAAACTGAAATAGTTGTAATGTATTCGATAACACGCAGACTTAATGGGTGAATTTAACCAGAGTAGATAAGGAACCCCAGTTAAAGGAAACATCCGTAATCCACTGAACTAATTTTAAGTAATTTAAACAGCTCTGTTTAGGATATATTTTTAAATGAAATAGTCCTCTGTAATCGTATCAGTCAATTAATTTTCTTACTAAATATATATTTATATAACGCAAGAAATCTAAAATGATTGCTTCATATATATTGTTTTTCCATGACAAAAGCTATTTGTCGTTTCAACATGATATCATTCGAATCACGTACCTTCCAGTTCAAAGGTCACGCGCCTTGTCCATTAGCCGAGGAGGGGCGGTAAAGGACCCTTCACACAAGACTGTCGGGTATATTTATCAACAAGCCCCTCAATTGCCCATGAGCTATGCATGTGACGTCATTGATAAGAAATGTAGAAATCTTACACCTTATACATTGACAAGCTCGTTTAAGCGAGTTAAGATAGAGAATTCGTATGTCTTCGACAGTTAATTTAAACTACACGTTGGTAATGTACACCAGGCTGATTCTCTTCTTTCTCTACGTGGGCGAAAGTGTGCGTGCAGATCAAGCACTTTACGATGGCGCACGTGGTAGCGAGGTCGTAACTACCGTGGTAGATCGTATACGTAATGCGTGCATCTTCCGTCGAGATAACTTGTTCTTACGACGCCTGGCCTACGTGGAGAGCGCAGATGGAACAGACCCGAAGACGTATAGACCGGGCTACTATGGTGGAATCTGGCAGGTGAGGCAAACAATGGTGTTATGACAAATGTACACTTGTCAGTTATCATCCACCTGAACAGGGATAAAATAGAAGACCGCAAGTTGTCATTGTACAAACCAGCCTTAGTGAAACGGCTGTCATGTCAATGTTAAGGTACTGGAGTTTCGATCACCTTAGCGATGAAGTCGCTTTGTATATGGACACCCAGTTGTCGTAGTACAAAGCGATCTTAGTACTAAGACTGTCGTAAGTCAATGTTAATGTACAGGGCCTAGATTTTCGAAGCTCTCTTAGCGTTAAGATAGTCGTAACTGCCATACACTAACATTAACTTGCGACTATCTTAGCGCTAAGAGAGCTTCGAAAATCTAGGCCCTGGAGTTTCGATCACCATACAGATGAAGTTACTTTGTATATGGACACCCTTCTTAATACAAAACCAGTACGACATTGGTGTAGTGCTCAGGACTGTAGTATCTTTAATGTGAAAGATCTTTGGCAGTAACCAAAACAAGACATTTGTATCTACAGTACTCCCTTGTCATAAAACTGTTCCCAACTGTTTTAAGAGATAATTCATCGTGTTTGGGTATCGTTCGTAAACCGGGACGGTGGGGTAGCCTAGTGGTTAAAGCGTTCCCTAGTCACCCGAAGACCCGGGTTCGATTCCCCGCATGGGTAAAATGTGTGAAGCCCATTTCTGGTGTCCCCCGCCGTGATGTTGCTGGAATATTGCTAAAAGCGGCGTAAAACCAAACTCAGTCAGTCAGTCAGTCAGTCATATCTACACGAACGGGAAAAGCAAGTACCTATTGTTATTCAACGGCAATACATTTGAACGGGTATTCGACTTTATATTATTGGTGTTTCGCAGTCTTCAGCCGGGTAGCTCCGATACCTCGTGATCGTGCCACGCCCACCAATCGTCACATGTTAGAGGACAATACGCAATTAAAGCAAGCGAAACCACTTTATGTATGTGGATAGTAATTCTGTGTATCTATATAAAATCGAATGGACCTGACCCAAGGCACGACCAAGGAAGACCGTGATAAATAAATAGTAGTAAAATAAATAATAGATAGCAATAAAATACATAACAAAATAATTGTTTCTCGTCAGATATAACGTATCTCACCCCGTGTGCAAATCACTTAAGTATTAACTTTGCCAAAACATTGTGCCAAGCATCTCATTGGGGCTGGATATTGGGTATATTGCAGAGATAATAATTCAAGAGATATTGCAATACATATTGTGATATATTGACTGCAAGGTTTCTGTCCAAGTGCGAACATCAAAAATTCATAATAGCTCTCTGTGTGCGACATCATCTTCTCAGTTGCTGTTACACCATACTTTCAGGCTCCCTGTCCCCATTGTGTATAGGTGTATGCCAGTGGTGTACAGATAAATGATATAGAGCCTTAATGTGGAACAAGGTTTTGCGAACATAATGATAAAGGTAATAGTATAACATGATTTTCATGGTCAGTGCTGTTTGCTTCAACAGAATGCATTTCAATGCAGTATGTAATTATTGTCACTGTTTGTCAGTGATTCATTCAGATTCAACTCCAATATAAACATGTGTTAATATGAACGGTTGTAAAATGAAACAAAAACATGATTTAGGTAAACTACTTGAGCTTAAAATCTCATGTGACCTCCAATAACTAAGATCCTTGACTAGAATGTCATTATACAGTCCTACAAAATGTATAAAACTTAGTTAATTGATAACATATGCCCCATTAGGAAACAAAATAAAAATAATAAATAATGTGAATTGTGAAATGGTCACTCAGGGCCAGTAGCTCTACTTATAACTCCAAATAAAAGATTGGTTAAATCTTTGAAGGGCATTTAGAAGTGGAATGCATGAGAAAAGCAAAATTTATGGATGTCAACTTCTTTATTGTGAACATTCATTACCTGATGAAGGAGCAAGCATACACTCCGAAACGTTGTGGTATTCACAACAAGAAGTTGATATCCATTACTCTTGGTTTTCTTAAAAGATTGGTCCATTTGAGGCCACTTAATTCCTGCAAAACGTCACATATGAAACCATTCAAACCCCAAAACTTAAAACATTTGGTAGAATATTTGGCACTTTGGGAGCCACTTATAAAGACACTTCAACTTGTACAATGTTACACGAAACAGAAAAGAAACAAAAGTATATTTGGCACTTTTAGAGCACATTTTGTTGCTATGGAAATCAAGGGAAGATAATTCACTACGGATGACCCAATATATTGCAGAATCTGAACCATATCGGGAAAATCGTATTGCGAGATACTGTACCGGTATATATCGGTTTACCGGTAATATTGCACAGCCCTATATCTTATTGGACATATCTATATCTGTGCATGGGTCGTTCACTATAAACATTTTCATAATCGATTTTGAATAACTTTCAGATAGACGAGCCCAAGTTCCTCGCTACAACTAACTGCACAGGCCGTTTGTTCCCCAAATGTTTGGACATCCTTCGCGAGTTCTCCATCGACTGGAAGCGGGTGCCATGGCGCGCCCTTCTGAAGCCGCTCTACTCAGCCCTGGCTGCCTCTCTGTACACGCTGCTGACGGTTGGGCCGGGCGGGGTGCCCCCCGACCTCACAGGGCAGCAGGTCTTCTGGAAGGACGGCTTCCATGACGGCATACTACCCTACAGCTACGTGGACACAGTGCACGACATGCCTAACGGTAAAACTCCATTCTATCGACATAAGCTCTGTTGTCAATCACTGGCTGGTCTCCTTGCAATCGTGTCTGAAGAATAAGGCAAGATAGTCATAGGCAGGCAATTTGCCCATGGCAAAACAATTTAGTATGAATCTATAAATACATCATTACAATTCTTCACTCCACAATCCGTTCTTCTACCATATATATTATAATTCAGACTCATTCGGGAGCGGTGGGATAGCCTTTAAAGCTTTGGCTCGTCACGCCGAAGGCCCGGGTTTGATTGCCCACATGTGTCTCACTGACCTACTGGCCGGGTGATGTATATCTTAATTTGTCCTGTCTGTATGTCCATATGTTTGTATACCGCGAGACACGAAAATAAAATACTTACTTACTTACTTGCTCACTGTGTACAATGTGTGGAGCCCGTTTATGGTGTCTCCCGCCGTGATATTTCTGGAATATTGCTAAAAGCGGCGTAAAACCATACTCACTCAGAACTATTCGACAACTGATTATCAATAGTAAGATTGCCGTGACTTTAGCATCAATCACATTGAGACTTTTACATTAAACATAAATGTTTCTATTGTCATGAGAAAATTTTCCATTCAGAATTAATATTCAATGTCATTTTGACAATTTCGTTCCACCAGCGCCGAAAATATTCTGTCCCCTATATACATCTTTCCTCATCCAAAGACTAATACGGGTTAAAATTGGTCTTCAGGAACCTATGCTTGTCGTAAGAGGCGCATAACGGGATTGAGTGCACGTGGTTAGGCTCGCTGACCTGGTTGACACATGTCTATGTCATCGTATCCCAATTGCAAGATCGATTCTCATGCTGTTGATCACTGGATTATGTGGTCCAGACTCGATTATTTAGAGACCGTTGTCAGACAACTGGAGTACGGCGTAAAACTAAACTCACTCACTCACACACTAACCCGGTTAGCCACATTTTCTCAAATAATTTAAGATGACTGGATTTTATTACAAAATGAAGTTTACTTCGTCATGACATGAACATCATGTGAACACAATGTAAATATGCTTTTGCTCACGTGAGTAAATATACTTCATAAATAGATTTATTGCATAACTATATTTTTATCAATGTGAATGAGACGACTGGTGGATTATTTGCAGATGTACAAACGCAACGTAACTGTGGTCATACTCTTAGCCATAGCAATTCACATCTTGTTGTTAAAGGAACTATGCTGATCTGAAATGATCCCGGCCGGTGGGCTTTCACACTCTCTTTTTTTAAATTCAGCAGAGCTAATCTTACATTCCTTCCACAGCATATGGTAAAATGTCCGTTTGTTTTCATTCCTTATTCGAGATGAACAGTCAGTGAACAGAAGTTTAAGAGGGCAAGAACATCTAATTTCTTCTTCCTGTATGTCCAGGGACGGTGGGGTAGCCCAGTGGTTGCAAAACCGTTCGCTCGTCACGTCGAAGATCCGGGTTCGATTCCCCACATTGGTACAATCTGTGAAGCCCATTTCCGGTGTCCACCACCGTGATATTGCCTGAATATTGCTTAAGCGGCGTAAAACCATATTTACTCACTCACTGTTTGTCCGTCTTTACATGCTGTTTCGAGGTGTTCACAGCAAAATGGCTGACTGTCTTTTTTGCCGTTTAACGCCGGGCTTCCAATATTCCAGCTTTCAAAAATGGAATTTTTAACTGACAATTTAGACTTGCACAAATCTCTACGGTAATAATTGATAGCTTAAATGATAATTTCTCAAAAGAATAAATACATTTAACACATGGTCTCTCTAACAGACTGGCATCTAGACTTGCCTCTTTAAAGGATAGAATTACTATACATTCATAGGCTTAGCATATCAGCACAGCCTTGGAGCAAGGCCACATGTTACAGACAACCAGTGAGGTCATTACTTGCTCTGAATACCTTTATTGTAAACCAAACAGTCGGTTTCCACAAAGTTATTATACATGTATATGTCCAGTTATCAATAAAATCATACGGTTAATTATGTTTGCTTTCAAGTAAACGTACTTCCGGACCGAAGCAACGATGATAATGGCACCCTCGTCTCTGCTTGTGTTTGATTGTTTAGTTTGGACAGGAGAATTTGATAATTAAATATATTCATCGAGTTATACTAAAAGTCTTGAAGACATAGTCACTTAATTAAATGTATCTCGCAAAACAAACATTTATTAGAGAATACACGGTAGTGCCCCGAGATTCGCCTTTTACGGGATTGCTATTCCTCTTCCCTTGGGATACCCAAATGTTTGAGTTTATTCTGAAACCAATTACTAAACCATGCTTGCATGAATATTGGGAAACAATACATACTAGTAGTTTATCGTACTTTAACGCGGAATGAAAATGGGTATGTTGAGACGTTTACGCTCTTCGATGACAATGTTATTGGCAACAATGCTATTCGCACGACTTTGATTTCAAGTGACATTGTTGGGTATATTGCAGTAGCAGAAATGTTAAGTCTCATTTTCACGTCACTACCTGCAGTGACCACTAAAAACGCACACCTTATTGCCTTGAGTATATTTTAGCAGCCTTTGGCGTTCCTTGATGGCTGACCGCCTCCGTGGTGTAGTGGTTAGAGCGTCCTCCCGGAGAGCGGAAGGTCGCGGGTTCGACCCCCGACCGCGTCATACCAAAAGACGTTAAAATATGGTACTTGTTGGTCCCTGCCTGGCGCTCGGCATTAATGGGTACAACAAGGACTGGTCGGCTCGGAGTCAGTATACTGTGTCTGAGTGGGGTATTCATGCTTCACTGCGACATGGTATCTCAGTGGGCTAGCACTATAAAAACAGCTTCAGTCTGGGCTAGTACAAGCAGCCGCACTTACAGATACACACGCATGCACGTCGTCATATGAGCGAAATATTCTCAAGCACGACGTAAAACCCAATTTCACCTCACCTCACCTTTGCTCACAATATCCATCACTAGGTCCAGACTCCATTATATACAGCGGACGCTCTAACCACTACACCACGGAGGCGGTTTGTGAGCAAAGACAGCCAACACAGTGTAACTCATACCTAATGTAACTCACCTTCACTGCAGTGTTACGGTTACTGCATGCTCGGGGATATGGTCACCCTGCTAGTTATATTTTTGTATGTTGTTTAACGCCGCAATCAGCAATGGTCCTTCTAAGCGTAGGTGGTCGGTAAATAATCCGAGTGTGGACCGGATAATACAGTGATCGATGTTATGATCTGAGTTTTCGATCTTCACAGTACGATACGGATGTCCCCGTCCTATCACCGAACCAGTTCCTTTGAATTTACGAATAGTAGCTGACTAATGGGATGGATCACGGATGTAGCAGTGTCCGAAATTTACGCTGGTCCTGTGGCCCCTGACTAGTGAAAATTCAACAGGACAACTAAATGATAAGTAGCCTTGGTGGAAAGTGAGTTTCTCCCCATCAAATAATTAAAATTGTCTTTAAATTAAACAGTGAGATCGTATAGGATTCAAATAAAGTAATACTCGCAAGTCGAAGTAACTTAAAGTTAAAGTAGATGTACGAATGGTATTTTGGGCCAGTGATGTACAGACAGGACCACTAATCATTGTCCACGCACTGGTCATGTGGTCGAGTGGGAAATTTTGAAAGGTTTCTAACACTTCATAGTGGCTTGTTGTGCTGTACTTAGATCAAATGTATACTGGGGCGGTGGGGTAGCCTAGTGGTTAAAGCGTTCGCTCGTCACGCAGAAGACCCGGGTTCGATTCCCTACATGGGCAAAATGTGTGAAGCCCATTTCTGGTGTCCCCCGCCGGGATATTGCTGGAATATTGCTAAAAGCGGCGTAAAACTAGACTCACTCACTCAAATGTATACTAGTACATATAGTAGCTTCCTTCCGATCATGCGCAGAAAATACGTTTAGTGGTACCGGTTAAAGTAAATTTACCCCACTTTTGTATTCAGGGCGAGATGTACAGATCTTTTAACAAACAGTCATTTAAATAAACTCAACAGTGTTAATCGCAACATGCTAGTGTCATATTAGACTGACATCTAGTCTCTGACATGAACATATTTTACAGAAAAGGGTTTTTAAGTTAAAATAAAATACAATCAAAATGACCTCAGACTTTCATCGTTTTCCTGAAACTGAGGTGATCTAGACTTGCCACACATTCTAGACCTGCATGTGCTGCATTGGGTATGTATACCATATGTCATATTTGAATACTTTTAATGAAGTAGTCCTCGTTTAGTGAACATTGATATTGTGCATATTTTACATTCTGTCCATTTTGGCATCTGCCAGGACGGCTACTGCCTTGTTTACAAGGGGTTACTCTGTACTACAGTATTGGGTACTTATAGTGTGCTCCAGTACCCAGCTGGACGTGGCATTCGTGCTGGACAGTTCAAGCAGCATCGACAGCATCGACTTCTACAGGACGTTGGACTTCGTCAAGGACGCCGTCACAACTCTCTTCCAATCAAGTCCGGGCACCAGGATCGCCGTGGTCAAGTACAGCAGTTTCGCCATGGTGGAGTTCCACCTGGATCGCTACCACACGGCCGCACAGGTCAGCAGCTACCTCGACAACATGGTCTACATTCCCGGCGGTTCCAACACCGCTGAAGCCATCAATGTCACCATCCATGACGTTTTCAGTGCTTCACATGGCGCCAGGCGGGAGGCGTCTAAGATCGCCATTCTCATAACAGACGGAAGGTAAAGCGAGGGAGAATGATGAACACGCTTTGAAAAGTATTTCGCTGATATGACGGCGTGTCAGCCGAAAGAGGCAGGAAGGCCCGAAGTGATTCGTTTCGCAGGCGCAAGTCGATCATAGGGGGCGATTATGGTACTGACGAACCAAGAATCAGGTGGTATTCGCTAGTGGTGTTCCGATTATTTGAAATAATCGAAGATTGGTCGCAGTGACCAAACGACCAAGCAATCAATCACATTTTCTCATAATCGAACGCAAACGATTTTGTCACTACTGTTTTTGTGTTTAAAACACTTGACGATGCAACATATCTTAGAAGTTGTCAGGGCTTGAAAACATGTTTAAATCTTAGAAAACTCATTTCACTTTCTGAAAAGTCATGACTGCTTATTCTTGAAGACTCCAGGAAGTTTATGTCCATGATATATTAGCAAGTTGCATCGTTTTACATCAGATGTGAAGTTTGCAAATGCAATTTGCACAGTTTCTAAATATAAAAACAACAACAGAGAACCACGTTATAATTTTCTGAAATAACAACCTGAATAGAACAATCTGAAAATGACGCCAACCATTTTTTAATGATTGCTCGTTGGTAATGAACCAATCATCAATTGTGAGATTTCAACCAATTTCCCAGCACTAGTATTCGTATTTATGCTCTAAGGATTCTGGCACGCGGAAGACGAACAACTCTGCATGTATTTGTGGCGTCATTAGAAATTAAGATCTCTGTTCATGGGGCGAAAAGTCACCCAGATATGATGAACTGATGTTCTGAATGCTGAATCAGCGAATGAGCAATATCACTGCATGTTAGTATCGGAAACTAACAAACCAGTTGAGTGAATGAGTTGGGTTTTACACCGCTTTTAGCAATATTCCAGGAATATGACAGCGGGCCCCATCACAACCAAACCAGTGGATGATAGCATGAGGAACGATGCAGTTGTTGCGATTTCACGATGATGTCATGATGTCCACCACACGTTTGTTGGGTGTAGAGAGGGTTAGCCTAGTGGTTACGCGTTCGCTCATCACGTCGAAGACACAAGTTCGATTCCCAGCATAGGGACAATGTGTGAAGCTAAAATATTGCATAAAACGTTATTCACTCACCCACTTATGGGTATACAGTGGGCAAAGGTCACATGATCACTGCTGCTAAAGACCACAACTGTGCCCGAATTTTTTATATTAGGACTGGTAATTTGTTTCAGTCTGTTATTCTAACACAGGTCGAAGAGCTCTAACGCCACCATTGCTGTCGGCCAAGACGCTCACAGAGCCGGGATCACGGTCTTCACCGTCGGGATCGGGGCAGTCAACACCCGTGTGCTGAACGCACTGGCGTCGGTCCCCACGTGTAACCACGTGTATGTGCTGCCCACGTTCGCTCACATTAGCGACATCGTGTACGACATTCTGCAGGGATCCTGTGAGGGTATATAACATTGAGTATATTCATTTAATTCTATAAACGTAAAGGTCACATGCAACGTAAAACACAACTTTGCAGATTCTGATACCTTTCGGTATGGACTTACAGATACAAATCATCCAAAATGCAAATTCAACTTATGAAGTTGAAATATAACGCGATGAAAAAAACCCCGCGAAATCAGAGTTCAAACGATTCACTAAATTCACCCCAGCGCTTCGGGTGAAAAGTGGTTTCAACAGCTGTGCTGCGCTGCGCTGGGCTGCGCTCATAGCACATGCGCAGTGAAATAGGTTCGCGCAGCTTAGAAGCACAGGCCCTCGTGTAAAATGTTGTTTTTGAGATGATACACCATGATGCATTGTATTGTGAAGCATTTCGAGTGGGGGGTCATCTCAGATTTTTGTATATATTTTATAAAATCTTTAATCCTCGCAAAGACACGAGGGCCTGTGCTTGGATGCGAGATGTCCGAATTATATAAGGTCGTGAGCAGGAATAGTCTAATCAAAACAAATAGTAAATAATTACATAAAAGAACCTTGTTCGGATCTAGATCTACTCAGCTATGTGTCAACCAGTGAGGCGTTCGACATTTCAAGACAGAAAACCTTCGCTGGCGGTGAATACTCGGTGAAGGCTTTGATGTATGCTATTTATCTAATGTTTTGTTGATATTTCACAGGCGCGAGCTTTTTATATGTTATGACAGTAGATTACCGATTTAACTGTTTATATAATTTCATTTGTCTATTTCACCACACGTTCTTCTTACCGCGTCACTTTCTCAGTTCGATATTTAAAAGCAATGTCATTATTTAGCGTTGACACAATTTCTAACTGTGATACAGATATGTCGTTGTCACAGACAAAACTCAATGTCTGTTTTATTGACACCTGTGTGTCTGCCTGCCTGTCTGCTAATGACAGTATTCAATCCACAACTTCGATCACAGACCACATGCAATTTGAACTTAACAGCTATCAGGCTATACACCATAAACAAAACGCATTGATTTATGGCCCGAGTTCGGTCTCTGTCACATTATGTAATTGCACAGACAGGCAGGTGTGATACTTGGACACATGACATTGACATTTCATCTCAGTTAAGAGGCTCACAGATCGAGTATTGGGGCCGCGCGCTAATCTGAAGTACGGTAATCCGATGTTTTCATAGCAATTCGCTTTCGCGAAACTTCTAGCACAACTTTGATTTTCGCTTTACCGGGAATAGGGAATATTGAAATTTCGCTTTCCCGGGCCGACACCGAGAGCACAGCAGCCAGGGTGCCTGGACTTCGGAGTATATCCGGTCAAACTGTACGGAACAGGTAGAGAGAGATTGGACTGAGATCCAGGAGACCCGACGTCGGGACCCTGCTACGTCGTCACCATCGCGCTCAACGTCTCTGTTATTTAAAATTATCCACTTGGTTGTATAGACATTATTTTCTTCTAAACTAATTTAAAAATTCATGAACTAAAGTCTATTTGTGGACGAGTTATACATGTTTGAAAATACAACAGTTCGTTATGCGTTTCTTTTTTTATTAGTATATTATACTTAATGGAACGCTGATCATAATGAAAACATCAGACCAAATCTGTGATTTTGTTTGTAGAATTTATGTCCTAAAAATAAATATAAAAACTTGTTTAACAAACTAAGCCAGGTGTACGTGAAGCACGTGCACAAGCAGTCTAAGTAAACTTAGGCTCAGTATCAGTATAGCAGTGTAACGAATAATACTGAGCCTAAGTTTACTTAGACTGGAGCACAAGTGCCGACAAAGTTATTGATTCATTTACCTGTGCTGTGCCGCCTCCATCCTTTCTCGCACACCTGGCTGTTCCTCTCTTTGAACTGTATCTAAATTTTAATGATAATTTGTTATTTTTTGGGACATAAATTCTGCAAAATAAATCACAGAGTTGGTCTGATGTTTTGAGTATGATCAGCGTTTAGTACCGTTGCGTGTAATAGCATATATATTAAAAAAACATGTTGATTGAAGCCATTTTGTCCCTTTTTCATACCCCCTTGTTTATCTTTACAAATCAAATTAAATACACTAATGTTGACAATCATACATGAAATACATTTACACGCGTGATCTCCGTTACGATGGCGTAATGCACTCGTTCTGTAAGTTGCATTCTGACATATTATTTTGCTAATGTTGGGTGAGTAATAAATAAAATACTAAACGATGTCTTGTGTAATACCATATTATATAACTCGTGAATGGTATTGGTATCTATTACACCCAGTGATCGAAATAATTTGCAAACTCAACCATACAGTCGGGCAGGTGACCAATAAATGTTGCCTTCCCATCTTGAAAGTTGCCTGCCCGCACTTTTGACTCATAAATTGCATTTATCATTGTTTCAAATGTGAATTAATTCAGAAAATTAAAAACAACAAGCATGAAATTAAATACTCAGACATCCTCAGCCTGTGACATTTGAAAAGAGACTGTTAATTTTGCAATTCCCCTTATCGGTTTACATCATCAAAATTATATGTTTTTAGAAAAACTTTGATTATGAAATTTTAGAGCGATACCCGCCTCAAATGTATCTTCTCGCGTGTTATTCATACGAAGCTTCCAAAAGGGATGTATTTAAAAATATCTGCCAGACATTTGGGCTTGTGGAGATTTTTTTCAGGCAGCCCGACACAAAAGCTGCCAGCCTCGGGCAGGCGGGCAGGCCGCTATTTCGATCATTGAATTACACCGGACATCGTTTAGGATTCTCTGAATACCAAGTTTTGGTTTTCTTCGCCGTGAGTAAACACGGCACAGCATAAATTCTACTCAATATGTTCGTTTTCTACCTTTTACAACAATATGAACCTGTATTATATGTTTATTTTCTACCTCTTACAACAATATGAACCTGTATTATATGTTTATTTTCTACCTCTTACAACAATATGAACCTGCATTATATGTTTATTTCCCGACTCATGTCATGGGTACATGTGTTGTGTTGTTGCAGCTCCGGCTGTGCGGGTGTTGCACTGCAACACGACGACGGAGATCGTGCGGTCAAGCCTGCCTGACCAGGGACTCAAGAAACACTTCTATCTGAAGAGAGACGACATGAACAACTGCAGCGACACCAGCAACTACTTACAGGTTTTACTCTCACTGTTTGTTGCTTAACGCCGTACTCAGCAATAGTTCAGCTAAATGGAGGAAGTATGTAAATAATCGAGTCTGGACCAGAACATCCAGTGATCAACAGCATGAGCATCGATCTCCGCAACTGGGATACGATGACATTTGTCAACCAGTCAGCGAGCCTGACCACCCGATCCTGTTGGTCGCCTCTTACAACAAGCATGGGTTACCGGAGACCTATTATAACCCGGACCTTCACAGATTTATATACCAAGTCACTAAATATGACAGTTCATCCGCCATGTTGCCTCTCGGGTAGTGCCGTCTGGTGTTCATGGTGTAGGCTTCACGCATGTTGCACCCATGTAGGGAATCGAACGCGGATCGTCGGCGTGACGTGTGAACGCGTTAACCACTAGGCCACCCCACCGTCACAATGGCAAACCGAGCAATCGTCATTGAAATTATCAACTTTGTTAGGTCACTTAATCAGAAGTGATATAAGCTGACAAGATGAGTCAAATGCCCTGTAAATACTACGTAAGACTATAACTTTCACTTGTTTCTTTCGTAAGGTGACTGTCGACTGCGGAGTCGTCCGCGTATACGGCTCCTACAGCAGCCCACGACCTAGTGAGGCTTTCAACGACTTCTCCTACATGGTCACTGGGCCTCGTCAAAAGCAACTCCTCCTCCAACACAACCAATCATTCTACCTGACTGTAGAGGCGCTGAATCTCGCCACCTCCAAGATGGCGTCGTGTCCGTCTGCTGACTTCACCCTGGCTGTGAGGAACCAAGTTGACAGTGGTTTCAACGACTCTATGCCGACGAGTTTTCCTGAAGTCTCAGTGTCACCAGGTAGAAAGTAGCCCCATACATTATTTATACTATCAATATTAATACAGTGTCATAAACCGCTGTGTCGAACAAACGGTTATGTCGAAGTAAAACTTGGTCCCTGCCTGAACGCAACGGTATTTGCTTCAATGTTTGTTAGCTGACTGACTGACTGAGATTGGTTTTACGCCGCTTTTAGCAATATTCCAGCAATGTCACGTCGGAGGACACCAGAAATGGGCTTCACTCATTGTACCCATGTGGGGATTCGAACCCATGTTTGTTAGAGTTGAATATACAGAAATCCGAAATATAGACGGTAGTTATAAGATTAAAACCAAAAGAGAGTCAGGCAAATGTACACAACTGCCAGTAAGGATGCGTTACAAATAATGTTTTAATAACAGACCCGTGAAGGTCCGGGTTTGAATATTGACCTTCAGTAACCCATGCTTGTCGTAAGAGGCGACTAACGGGATCGGTTGGTCCGGCTCGCTGTCTTCGTTGACACATGTCATCGGTTCCAAATAGCGCAAATCGATGCTCATGCTGTTGATCACTTGACTGTCTGGTCCAGACTCTATTATTTACAGACCGCCGCCATATGGCTGGAATATTGCGGCGTAAAACTAAACTCACTCACTTAATAACAGTTACTTTATAAAACGTGAAGTTACATAGCGGATTCAACTACATACAATATGGTATAACGCCATTCAGATCACATCACTGCTCTGTAAGCCAGGTTTTACTGTGACAGTGTAAATGAGTTGAACATTTCGACTAGTGTTTCTACTGCACTGTGGGCGGTGGGGTAGCCTGCTGATAAAGCGTTCGCGCGTAAGGACGAAGGTCTGGGTTCGATTCCCACGTGGACCGTGGTACAATGTGTGAAGCCAATTCCTGGTGTCCCACGCCCTGATATTGCTGGAATATTGCTAACAGCGGCGTAAAACCATACACACACACACACACACACTCACTCACTCCTACTGTACTTTATTTCATGCCATATCAGAGTTACTTACCAATATCTTATTCAGTACGACCCGAGAAGATCCGGGTTAGAATTGGTCTTCAGTAACCCATGCTTGTCGTAAGAGGCGACTAACAGGATCGGGTGGTCAGGCTCGCTGACTTGGTTGACACACAGAGTGCGTAGATCGATTAAGTACTCATTCGTCGTTTACTCTCAGACCTACATGTGTCAGTTTCTAGTGCTGTTTGTGTGATGTGTTTTTCTGCAATCAGATAAACATGGGTGTCAAAGTAAGGCCGATGGTTGTCCGCAGGTACAGAAACAGCTTTGTACACCAGAACAAGGTAAGTATGGCTACAATGAATGTGATTCTACAACCTAATGTGAGATGTGTGTGTGTGTGTGTGTGTGTGTGTGTGTGTGTGTGTGTGTGTGTGTGTGTGTGTGTCTGGATGCTGGATAGTGTGTGTGTGTGTGTGTGTGTGCGTGCGCGCGCATGTGTACGTACGCCAGTTTTCAATGTACTATCAAGCATTGCTATAGTTTTGCATGCATAACAACACGTGAAATCCGAGTGAATTCCAATCTAGTTTGCTTTATTAATTATGCCTTACACAGGCAAATGTTCTCCGTCAGTTATGACACAACCCGCTTTTCAATTCATATGAACTCTTCAGGTTCAAGGTGGATGGAAAGTTAAACTCTCCTTTCCGTGCATATTCTAAAGAGATATGTACCAATGTTTTTCAGACACCAGTCTGCCTGCCAACCCCTGCCCAAGGGAAAACATCCATGGCCACGCTCTGTCCTTCACCCACCCTTTTGATAAAACCAGGTTTATTCAGTGTGACCTGAGCGGGAAGATGTACATTACCCAGTGTCCTCCAGGAGAAGAATATGACGTCATATCTCATGGCTGTGGGTCCGCCATAGCCGCCACGGAGCTTCCAGGCCGTCATATCCTGAGCGAGAACATATCCAACCCTTGTACTGCGCGCGACATCAGGAACGGACTGTTGTACTTCACCCACCCTAAACCTGACAGATTCATTCAGTGTGATACATGGGGCAACCCATGGGTGCAGCTCTGTCCGAGCTCCTTTGTCTGGGATCAGACCCAACTCACTTGTGTCAGTTCCCTTCTTCTTTCCTCCAAAACGACGACAGCTACGTCGGCTAGTGTCAAATCCACTGGAGCGCAGATCCAGACGTCGCCAACGACGACCCTAGATCCGGACATCTGCCAGCACCCTGACGGGGTTGGGATATACGCTCATCCCGACCCCACGAAGTATATACAGTGCCTCCTAGGACGGAAGCTGGTGCAGCAGTGCCCCCCGGGGCAGTTATGGCGCGAGGCTCTAATGGCATGCGTTATGTCATAAGTTTGTGATGTTCATCGTTTAATGCGGTAATGAAAATGTCGTAATGTAAGATAATAAAATTGAAATGTAACTGACGCAAACAGTCTTAATTTTTTATGTGGCAGTACCCCTGTATTCCACCAGTGAAGATCCGGGTTAGAACTGGTCTTCAGCAACCCATGCTTGTCGTAACAGGCGTCTAACGGGATCTGGTGACAAGCTTAAGGCTCTCTGACTTGGTTGCCACGTCATCACCCACTTGGCGAAGATCTATGCTCATGAAGCCAGTCACTGGGTTGTCTAGTCCAGATTCGCTTATTTTCAGACCGCTGGAACAATGCTGTGCGCGGCGATATATAAAAGAAAGCTAAATCTTTTATCTTGATAACAAAGCTTCCCAAAATTGATGCAGACTGCCGAGAGGTTTTAACCATTTCCATCAAATGGCACTATTCCCGCCGTTCCTGGAACACTGGGTTCTCCGTATCCCAGGGGCGTGTCACGCTTAGAAACGGCGTTAGAAAGATATATAGGTATACAGACCCTACCCTAGTACTATATAAAAAAGGAAAGGGACGTAACGACGGAACCACCCCCTCCTCAATCTAAGTTAGATTTCGGCACGTAAACTATTTTTAAGGCCCCCGTCGAGGCCTACGGATCAAAAGCGAGATGATTTCCCTACAAAATGAGCTATAAATGGTCACAAACGGATCATTATTTCAAAAGTTACACGCCACGACTCACCGAAAACAGCTACCTCAGCAATTCCAAGCCAAAATCATGGATCACCCAAGACAGTGAAAACTCACCTTTTAAATTCGTTTATTAATTCCAGCCACGTTGACAGCACCTATGAAGGGCTAGATTCGATCGGCAGCGCCATTCCACGGGTCTAAAATCTTATTGCAACATCTACAAATCATTTCCTGGACAGTAAGCAGACATTATCTCCAAAACCATCGGCAATCATACTCACTTGTCGGCTATAAATGGCCTTGACATTCAAGTGATCTGAGTAGTAAATTTGTAAGAATAATTTTAGAGGTTAAATATTTATAAATATGATTTCCTAAAAATGAATCAATATCGAATGCATTTTTTCAACCTTTAAAACTATTCTTAACAATTTACTGTTCCGTACATCATCCAAAATATAGGATTATTGCAAAGTTCATTTTTCGCGCCCATTAGCAAACAGTCAAAATCTTACAGTATATTATACTTTCCACCAATCGGATTGCCCAATTTCGTTTCTGCGGATCTGCTCAGATCACTTGAATGTCAAGGCCATCTATAGCCGACAAGTGAGTATGATTGCCGATGGTTTTGGAGATAATGTCTGCTTACTGTCCAGGAAATGATTTGTAGATGTTGCAATAAGTTTTTAGACCCGTGGAATGGCGCTGCCGATCGAATCTAGCCCTTCATAGGTGCTGTCAACGTGGCTGGAATTAATAAACGAATTTAAAAGGTGAGTTTTCACTGTCTTGGGTGATCCATGATTTTGGCTTGGAATTGCTGAGGTAGCTGTTTTCGGTGAGTCGTGGCGTGTAACTTTTGAAATAATGATCCGATTGTGACCATTTATAGCTCATTTTGTAAGGAAATCATCTCGCTTTTGATCCGTAGGCCTCGACGGGGCCTTAAAAATAGTTTACGTGCCGAAATCTAACTTAGATTGAGGAGGGGGTGGTTCCGTCGTTACGTCCCTTTCCTTTTATATAGTACTAGGGTAGGGTCTGTATACCTATATGTCTTTCTAACGCTGTTTCTAAGCGTGACACACCCCTGTGCTCCGTATCATGTATCAACAGTCGCACTAGTAGACAGCGTGGCCACTACAAATCACAGTGAGTCGTACATGTAGTGACAGTATCATGGTGACATCGCAGATATATTGACTAAACCTAAAATAACCTTAAAACTAGGTGGTTGTACGCAAGAACACATCAGAAACAAATACAAGGCCCATGATGGTTAGGCTTAGCAAACAGCTACGCGTATGCATGCTTCTGACTTAAGCACATTCAAATTGTATTTCCTCACAGTTAAAATGTGTTCCTACATTTAGAGTTTGACGGAACATTCTTTTGAAAATTGTTTAAAACATAAATCAAAACCATCCTTAAAAGTATATTTACTGAAACCGCGCTTGTGCTGTTTATTTAAAACAGTTCTTTAGTTACTACCCGCGGCATTGTTTTATAAGAAAAGAAGAATAGTATGTATTTAAATAATGTTCTAATTATACTTTCAATCTTGATGTAACTCATGAGTAAAGCATGAAAGTGATTGTGTTTCCTATGAAAACAAAATTAATTTAAAATATTACCCAACGGACGAGACCTCTGAATGCCTTTATTAAAAAGCGTCTGTAATTACTGGAGGGAGTCTTCTAGTTTTGTTGGCTGATATTTTTTTGTCTGTTTGTATCTTAGAAAACTAAACCGCTTTTGATATGACGCACCTTTTCCTGACACTGGTACGAGATTGTTATATTTCAGATAAGGAGGGCATAACATAGACGATATATACGGCACACGGTAACAGTTTGGAAGGATTCTGCGGGGAATATGAAGTTTTACCATCTACCCATATATTACATCGTAAACGGAGGGTTAGTTAAATGGGGTTTGCTGTCCTTAAGAAGCACCATTAGAAAACAATAGACATTCATTCTCTAGATCTGTGCCACTGCCAAGAGCAGATATATGAACACATGTGATCAGGCTTCCTGACGACCTCAGCTCAAACTTCAAATGCCTTTCTACGGTAACTGGGGTATCATTGGGTGTGGACAGCACCCGCAACTCATTCTTACACTTCACCATACATGCGGAATGTTATACTTTTCCCGCTACTCGGAATATTTTGACAAGTAAAATACACCCCCTATATCTACTGACAACATTCTTCACAGGGAAAGTCCAATATAGCATGGCTTTCTCAGAATGGAGCCCACATGACAACGGACAGTTGTAGCGTGTAACCCATGTCCAGGCACCGAGGTCGTCAGGATATCACTCACTGGGACAAAAGGGCATGTTTACATCCTACACAGTCAGCGAGACTATTGGAATGCATGTAAGCACGTTCACAGACAAAGTTATTTATTCATTAACCTGCATCATTGTCTGTGAACGTGCTTCTCGAACACCTGGCTGTCCCTTTCTCTGCACTCCTCCCTCGTAACAAACAGTGAACTGCGTCAATATTTTAATGATAGTTTGTTAAACAACTTTTTTATTTTTAGGACAAAAATTCTGCAAAAAAACTCACAGAGTGGGTATGATGTTTTGATTATGATCAGCGTTTCATTGAGTATTTTATGTTTATTAGTTTTCGAGTTAGATTGCAATTCATCGGTCCGCTTTTGAGCCAAACGGACTATAACATCCACGGACACGGAAGGGCAGAAAATCGCATTGCAGGAAACCTTATGGACCGTTCATAATTTATGGCTGAGGGGCTTAAATATATGAACAAAGTAAGGTATTACTTTTGAACGGTCCCTCACACGGCATATCCTTGCCGAGCGGACGTCACAAATCTAAAAATCAAAATGAAGTTCATAGTGAATACACAGAGATTATTACACGAGCAAGTGTGTCATATACGAAACGACTTATACGAAACGAGTGTGAAATTTTGTATTGCCCGAACGACGTAATAATTTTTTTATTATCCATTTTATTCATAAACATTTGTGCAGTAAAATACGGTAAGCAAGTGTGACTGCCCTGTTCATTGTTCAGTTGTTTAAGTGACGTCACAGACGACGAAAAACAGAAACAATGGTTGCTAGGCAAACGTGATATGTACACATGTGTACATATGATATATATGACACTGGTTATGTTTCACCATATGGATAATAATCTTCTGTATCTTTTTATTATATGGGTATATATAGCGCTATAGTCCATCCCACATGCATGCATGTATAGACACGAAAAAAATCATCTATGGTCATATTTGAAACGAATTCTCACCAATTTGTTGGAGCTAATTTGACGGGCACCTGTATAATTTGCTCACGTCTGCTTCTTGGCATCTGAAGTTAACGCGTATTAAAACCTCGTGCAACGGAAATGAGCCTCGATTGGTTGAAATCGTAACCATGACATCACGTGATGTCCAATGTTGGCGACACCTGTGTGAAATTGACAACACCTGAAAGCTGATTTGACATTTGTTAATTATGTAAACAGACGGAAACGATGTTAATTCTAAAGTTTGACTGGGGTGGCGGGGTAGCCTAATGGTTTGGGTGTTCGCTTGTCAGTTCGATTCACCATTTCCGTTCAGTATGGAAGCGACGTCTCCGTGTCTATTTGCGTTCAGTACTAAGGCTCAGACTTTCCGAAATATGATGAGTTTGAAATTATCAGTTTCGCGTCAGAAATAAGATAATTCGTTTGTTTCTTTGTTCATTTGTCGACCCAAATTTCACAACCGTGGCAAATACACGTCAAGAGGGTATTTACATCGACGAATCTAAAAAATTAAAACAATTGTTACCAGCACATGTTCGTATTCCAGATTAATATGTGTAAAATGTTATGCTTGCAATATATATTCTTTCCGTTTCATACTGATACCGGATTGTTCAATTCCATAATTTTAATTTACTCGCCGACTCTTTACTTTTTCTTTTTAAAATACAGCGCGAAGAACTAAAGAGACGATTTAACAAAGGAAGATTCAGAGGCCACGGCTCGAACATTAAATTAGCGCATACCACATAGTGACTTCTTTGATGGGCATTTTAGAAGTTGAGTTGATGAAGAATGATGACACTTTTTATGGATACAGCTTCTTTTATTGTGAAAGGCGACGTTTCGACGTAGATTCTAATGTCGTTGTCAAGCAAGTGGTACATGAGAAACAAATTGAGAGAATATATACATGAGTTGTTATTACAACAGATGTCCTCCCACTTTGCCATTTTCATTGTCAAGCAATTAATTAAAGTTAATGGTGCAACAAGAAGAAGAAGAAGTTTATTCAGTATTTGAGGCCACATGGCCAAGAGTACAAACTTATAAGAGCAATATTGTGCGGATGGACAGACAAAAACAATGTAATTAGTTCATTTTCATACAGGCAAGTTACGCTTTAGAAATAATGCTATTGACTTCAATAGATGTGCATTTGTTGTTGTTAAAAGTTGTTTAAATTTTAATCTTGATTGAAATGTATGGTAATAACTAGGTAAGTACAGTTTTCTGTGTACAGAATAGAATGGACACACAAGTAAAAAATGAAATTCATCCTGTGTAACATTAAAGTAGTCCGTCTTTGCAGCGGACCAGACAATCCAGTGATCAACATCACGAGCATCGATCTACGCAATTGGCTACGATGACATGTGTCAACCAAGTCACAAATTTTGTTTGTTTGTTATTCAACGCCGCTCGCAGCACTATTCCAGCTATATGGCGGCACTCTGTAAAACCTCGGGTCTGGACCAGACAATCCAGTGGTCAACATCCTGAGCATCGATGTACGCAATTGGCTACGATGACCAAGTCATAGAATCTGACTGTCCTATTTGTTAAGTTGGTTGGTTGGTTAGCTTGTTATTTAACGCCGCACTCAGCAATATTCCAACTATATGGCGGCGGTCTGTAAATAATCGAGTCTGGAACAGACAATCCAGTGATCAACACCATACGCATCGATCCACGCAATTGGGATACGATGACATATGTCAACCAAGTCAGCAAGCCTGACCACCCGATCCCTTTAGTCACCTCTTACGACAAGCATGGGTTACTGAAGATCAATTCTAACCCGGACCTTCACGGGTCGAGAAGACGAAGAACAACACCAACTTTTTGTTGCTACATAATAATAAATAACATATCTTTAACAAACATTGGTCGTTTTCTTAATTAAAACAATTTGATAATTGGTTTTGTTTGATTGCACATGTTGCCTTATAAAGAATTCATGTCAGCCCCGACAATATCCATCAAAGCGCCTGTAAAAGAATCAACTATTACATGTTCACGTGTTCACTGGATGCATATGTTCAAAAAGTAATCCTGAAATATTCCACATTCACCAGACAAACGATATGGCTTTCATCTGTTATTGCAATTTTAAAATCTAAGGTTGAGATATTTACGATAATGATGAAATCTTATCCATGGACTGATGCACACGAACAAACGAATAGTTAAACCAACGTCAGTGTTCGCAGCTAGGGGTTTGGGGAATGTTGCTGAAGGTAAGTGAGTGAGTGAGTTTGGTTTTACGCCGCTTTTAGCAACATTCCAGCAATATCACGGCGGGGGACACCAGAAATAGGCATCACACATTGTACCCATGTGGGGAATCGAACCCGGGTCTTCGGCGTGACGAGCCAACGCTTTAACCACTAGGCTACCCCACCGCCCTGCTGAAGGTTAAGCCCAGCGACATAATTTACAAAAGTAAACCCTATTTACTGAAAGAGTGTGAGTTTTTATGCCGCACTCAGCAATATTCCAGCTATATGGCGGCGGTCTGTAAATAATCGAGTCTGGACCAGACAATCCAGTGATCAACAGCATGAGCATCGATCTGCGTACTTGGGAACCGATGACATCTCTCAACCAAGTCAGCGAGCATAACCACCCGATCCCGTTAGTCGCCTCTTACGACAAGCATGGGTTACTGAAGGTTCATTCTAACCCGGACCTTCAGGGGTCATTTACTGAAAGAAACTGTCACTAAGTAAGTTTTAATTACTTGACTAAGGATATAGATTTGACTATGTGACTGTCCACCAGTCATTTGTAAAACAGAGGAATTAATTAATTCACCAATATTAAACTAAACATAGTATTTTTAAAAAGGAAAAAAAGCAACTTTATAACATCTCACGACAGAAAGGTATATTTCAGTAATGTAAAATAATAATGATAACGTTCAAAATGAAAGTTTCACAGATAAAATGAGCAGAAAACTGTCCCGCTTTCTGGATTGTATTTCTATGTTACCCATCTAACCACACACACACACACACACACACACACACGGCGTGAATAATATCGATTTGTCTTACTCCAGTTTTACCCATCGCTGTGATGAAATTCCATGCCCTGATGTGTTAAAAATATAGTCTGACCCTTGCACACTTACAAACAGTTCTGCTTGATCTCACTTCATCTGCATTTATTAAAAAAAATTCCTGAATTCCTGACTTCATCTGCATCATGAATTAAATTAAAGACTATTTAAAAACATATTTATAAGCAACACAAATTAGGGACCGTTCATGATATATGGCTAGGGTGGTGGTGATGATTTTTATGGAGAAGCATGTACGATGTGAATGCAACGGTCCATTAGCGAAAAACTTGCTTGCATTTTTTCAAAGGCATTATCTTTACATTGTTTAATCATCAACAAGAAAGCTGATGAAAAGTTTCTTATTCACAAAGTTTTTTTGAATAGTGCAGACACATCGTCCTTCACAGAAATTAAATTCCCTTTGCCATAGCAATAATTTAGGCTACACTTTCGCATTCATGCGACAGAAATTCTGTGGCGACAAGAATTCTGTTTTAACGGGTGGCAACTAAACACCAGCGTGGTTTACTCCCTTGATCAACAAAAACAACCGGCTATTCCCTTAGCCTCCCTTTAGTAAGCTGTACCTTTAAATAAAATATATTAGGCATAAATACAAAGTGTCCAATCTTAATAGTAACTAACAAAGACTTACGTCGACATATTACACCAACTTGAGCAGTCGTAAAGACTCTCAGATCACAAGTGAAAACTTTATACCAAACAAGGGTGAAGAACGTAACAGCCGTCTCGAAACTTTCGTCGGTCGCTGAAACTGAGAGAGGCGAGTGATTGATTCACAGCACTGAGCATACTGTGGATAAGTCAGAACTGCACCGCTGCACGGGACGCCTGTTGGATTTATTTCACAGTAAGTTTGTGTTTGTTCTGTTTGTTCTATAATATTGTTTCCGATCAGTTTCGTTATTCAGAAACAAAACCAGCTGCTTCTCAGCGCATTCAGAACCAACTGATGATAACCTTATGTTATAAACAATGAGAGCTGTCACTGTCAACGTTCAGGAATTCACGTCCCCAAAGAGGATTCGCTGTGACGCTCTGACGTTGAATATATTAGTGTGTCAGCCCTGTTGTTTGATATTAGATACTTATACAGTTTATTATATCAGCAAGATAAAAGTAATTCTATGTTCATCAAAGTGAACTTAGCTTAAATTTCACTAGGTTCTCATTCAACATTTAATCGATTATTAGATAACAATATTTAAATTACTTGCTCATTAAAATGTCACAAGCATATTCAGTTCACAAGATTATTATTATGATTCTGACAAGCATATTATATTATCAACATTGCACAAGAAATCTTCAATGCCAATTTTATTAAGTTTTGAATATTTCACTCAGTATTTGAATAAGGCCCATTGATTGATGTTTTGTGATTCTGCCAGATGTCATCCAGTGATTTTTTTCTGTAACTGTCAGTGACAATTAATCTCTCAAAGCCAATACATCTTGTTAGTCTTGATGAACAATTAACTTTAAGGAATCAATAAAACCAGTATTAATCATTTGGCTCAAAGCTAGAAATCAGATTTTCCACTGTTCAATGAAATTTCAGTCATGCTTCATTAAATGCTATAGAACCTGGTGTGCAGTTTGGCAGAGAAATGTCATTTATTGATAATACACCTTGCACAAAGTGAAATCCCTGTTCAAACCCTTTCTCCAACATATCTGAAGGCAGCTTATAATTAAACAAATCTAACTTTAATATTCAATTCTAATAGAATTAGTCGAGCACCGTTGTCTCGATATTCATGGGACCAAGAAAAATATCGAGTTACAGTGTCCATCTTGAATGATACGTCATCTCGCCCTTCATCTCTCGATTCCACAAATCTTGTGAACGCATCTGCCGTTCTCAATTGTGATTACACAAAACCCTCATTGGATTCTCAGTATATTTTGTTTCGAAACTATAATCCGTTATAAGTAGTGTTTAGTCGTAACAGTGAGTACTTCCTAATTAATTCCTTCTTAATTAATCCTAATTAAATAACAAACAAGTGACACCTTCAATTAATTAACCCTAATTAGTTTACACTATCGCATCCCTTTGATTCATGCCGCACCGTGTCTAAACGTGTGGAAACAACTCAGTTCAGAGGGATACTTGCCCATGAAAGATAGGTGAATATCGAGTTGCTTTGTAAATATCCAGTTAAAAGGGTAATTTTGCTTGTTGGGACCATGAAATTATATCGAGATATCTGAAATATCGAGACATCCGTATCGAGTAAAAAAGAGCTTGAATAATGATAAATTAAGAAGGATTCTGCCAAGACCGAGATGCTATATCGAGACAACCAAGATTTCGAGTTATCAGAGTTTGACACAACGGTGCTCGACTGTATATAAAGATTATGTTGTGACTATCTTATCACAATCAATAGATTAATTGTATTACGGTGCTCGACTGTATGTATAGATTATGTTGTGACTATCTTATCACAATCAATAGATTAATTGTATAAAGTGAGTGAGTTTGATTTTACGCCGATTTTAGCAATATTCCAGCAATATCACGGCGGGGGGACACCAGAAATGGGCTTCACACATTGTACCCACGTGGGGAATCGAACCCGGGAATTGTATTAAGAGTCATATAACAATAATTAGAAATAAGAGGAATTATCATCTTTCTCATTAGGCTGAAATATTCTGTGATGCATCTCTGATGAAATTAGTTATATATGCCTGTGTTGCTTTTGAACAGAAATCTTATACCTTTGAGATGATATAAAAGTTAAAACTAGCAATTCCTCGTATGAAAGTGGTCATGATGTAGTTAAAATGAAAATGCGTTCATAATGGCCTAGTTAAAATATTTTCTTGGTGTTGTAAGTCATGACACACTCAGAAGTAGTGTTGGGAATTGGTTGAAATCTCACAATTGATGATTGCTTCATTACCAACGAACAATCATCGAAAAAAATTGGTTCGCGTCATCTTTCAGATGTTCCTATCCAGGTTGTTATTGCAGATATGTATAAGATGATGCAACTTGCTACTTTAAAGTGATGACTTATATATCATGAACATTCTGGAGTCTTCCACAGATATTCAGTCATGACTTTTCAGTTAGTGAAGTGAGTTTTCTAAGTATTAAACAAGTTTTCAGGCCCTGACAACTTCGAAGATATGTTCCATCGTCAAGTGTTTCAAAGACTAAAACAGCAGTTCCAAAATCGTTTGTGTTCGATTATGAGAAAACGTGATCGAATGTTTGCTTGTTTGGTCACTTCGACCAATCTTCGATTATTTCAATTAATCAGAACACCACTACTCAGAAGATATTAAGTAAACAAACATGGAATATTGTGATTCAATGTGAACATGAGGGTATTCTCTGTGAACAGAATTACCGAATTCCAAATTCAAATTTTCACTTTGGACTGAAAATTATTCTGATTCTTTTGAGTGGCACACTTAACTGGAGTGCCCTGTGGCACAATTGAAGCAAAATACTAGTACATTATTACTTGTATTCATGTAGAAATTTTGATGTTGTAGCTAGGTGAGAGGTCATTTAAAATTTTGTTCATTAAAATTACATTGAATAAAGTGAAACGAAATATTAAAGCCTTTCCATGTTAGTTTGTTCCGATTCTAGTGCAATATATGTGAATCGATCCCAGCTATCACATTGCTGAACAAAAACGTTAAGGATCATGACTAGTTTTTGACGTGATACTTTCTTGTGAAGACACAGCCTCTGTCCTGTGTGTTGTGAAAATGTTTCATGATCCGTAACTTTTTACATTCAGTATAAGGAGGCCGAGGTCTATATAAATCCTGAGATCCTTGGCCCCATTTTGGGGATTGAAAAATGTATTATTTTGCAAAAAAGTTAAAGTATTGGTTTTGGTTCGAGTTGTTTAGAGCTCAGATGAAACAGACTTATTTTATTGATTGTATCACTGTATTCCTGGTAGGTGCATATTTTGTTGAAGGTTGTAATGAAGTTGAACTCAGAGCTCCAGATAAGATTTAGCTAATGTGGGTACTGTACCCACTGTATTTTTTTTGAGTGGGTATTATGAATGATGAGTGGGTATTTCATTTTCCGTTACCCACTGCTTTCAAATATGTACGTATTTCAGTCATTTTACACACCTAAGTATTTTCATTAAGTAAGTTTACTAAGCAGGTATGTTCTGCCTTATGTCATACCTTATCAAAACCAACTTAAATGTAAGGGAAATGATTTCATAAAAAATCAGTTATCCTATACTGAGAGTACAACACTTGATAGCAATCGATATCTTTTTCATTACGCTTTTTATAAATATATTCTGTACGCATTTGTTTTAAATTTTAAACTCTTTGCGTAATTATATAAATGCTTAATTGGTACGCAACAATTATTTTTCAGTGCGTAATTGGAAATTTTCTATGCGTATTTTACCCGGATACGCAGCTTATCTGGGCCTCTGTGAACTTTAAATTAATCGCTGATATTACAAGTGATAAGCCTAAAGGCTGTCTGCATAATTTATTTACGATTGTGTATTCTGATGAATGTTATAACAGTGTATGAAATAAGGCCCGGCTGACCGCCCGAGATGGGCTAGGTTTCTGATGGACGGTCAAAATTGACAGCAAACCAGCCCGATGGTCTCGTAAAATTTTTAGATGTTCCATACACCTGAGTAAATTCACCATATCTGGTCTGGTTAAATTCCATTTGGGCTGGTAACATTTTGAAGTTACCAGCCCTGATCTCTGGCTGGGTTGCTGGCTTATTTCATACACGGGTTATAGAGATCAAGTGTTCACGTATCTATGGTAACAGGTAATGAGAATGGTGTGCACTGAAATACAATCTAATAATCACCGCTGTTCCTGAAACTGAACAACAAACAAAAACACGACATTCACTGGCTTCAGCAAACTTGAAAATAATAGTCTTGCGCTGACTTTGAACTGATGTGAGAGAGTGTTTCCTTCAGTGAAAGTATTTAACGGTAACCTGAGATGGAACAAACGGTGTGAATCAGGATGATATTGGCTTGGGCTCAACAAGATTCAGGTTGCAAATTGCTCCTTTTAACTCTTGACTCAACTTAAGATTCAAATACCTGACATTAGTACCCAGAGGCCTCCACTGTCTCATATGTAACATTGAACCGACAACTTGTTATTTTGTATGACAGTGATAGCTAACCTTTGTTAATGTGTGTTTGTTATTAATGTTAACATGTGGAAAGTATCTCCCGAAGAGAATGTGCAGGCAGGTTTTATTTACCATTATCTAAATGTTTTGCAGGGATAGAAATGCAATTTTTTCGGACAGTTCTCTAGAGCACCAGACAGATAATTTAGTTGTTCCCTTGTGAAAATAAATGTGCCCATACCTTTTGATGATTCAGTTAAACATTACATCATTTCAATGTATTGTTTAAAAAATCAGCAAACATCATATTAGCCTGTAAACTTGAGAGCTGGATTTCTTGACCAATCGGGACTAGGGCTGGGACGGGTACTCGGGTACTCGAATTCTGGGTCGGGTACACCCGGAATCGAGTCTTATTTCTAGGAATCGAGTACCCGGAAAGGGAGAGAACTCTGTAATGACAAGGGCAGATAATAACTTGTCTTTTTCATAATTGTCTTTTTCATAATTGACGTAACACACGTATTTACATCATTTGTCCGATTAATGAAGGTTATTATTAACGACTGTAATTTATCTACGCATGAGCGGCGGGAACACAAAGTTCTGTGTTTTAACGAAGAATGTAAGTAATGCTGTTGCTGTTTATATTGGTTAAATAGACGTAAATTGAATAGCCTAAAATCTGTTTTAATGTCTGAATGCCATCCTTTCAAGTTTTCTATAATAAT